GAGGGGTTTTACCGTAGCATGGGTGATAATTATACTCTATGAGCTTTATAACCAAGCTATTGTCAATCACACAGTTCGTGTAGCCGGTTGTAAGGTTTATGGCAAGCTGTAACGTGCAAAACCGACTACAAAATCTTCATGGATCTAATTTTTTTGTATTTTCCTTCTTAGATGTGAAAACATAACTTATCTTTCATTGATGGTTTGAGTCGCTAAATGTCTCCACTGACTGATTAACTATTCCAGAAAAGTTATATAGCTAACTCCATTCAATCCTTTCAGTTATTACAGCCGATCATTGTCACCTGTGCATTGATTCGAAAATTGTTTTAAAATTGAATTAACGCAAGATCGTGATCGTAGACTTTTATTGTTAACGCACCAGGAAAATATTACTCTAGGAGAGGGTAGTGGAGGAGGTAGATAGAGTAATTTTTTACTCATACATCAGATTCTAATGTAGATTTTATTTACGATACGCTCCAAGATTTTAAGATGAAAGATAGGAAATTTCCTCTAGTTTCAGATCAAACAATCACACATTACCCAAGTATCTATCATAAATTTTTCAATATTATGAAACACTCCGCGCTAGGTGGAGGGCGATAGATAGCTGCGGCGTCTGTTCACGACTTAATCCCCTGCAATTTACAGTCCATTTTAGCGACACGGATGAATATAAAAGTAAATATTCGATCGACTCGTTGCACGTCTAAATAAACGATCTGAATTACCTCCGGACTCGTGAGTCCTTGAGAATAGTCGCAAAAACAACGAAGGAAAAGATTACAAAAAAAGATAAGAGTTACATCGATAATTCAGCGGACACCGAGCCGGGCAATAAAGCCGAATAAATCTTCGAGATAAGTGAAGAGCAACCTGGCAATAATAACTAACCAATAAACTCCAATTAGTTTCTTCGTTTAGTCTTAATTACCGATGCGTCCCGGCCGGGTGCTCTTCTTGAGAATCTCCCCGCGACGCGACACTTCAATATTTCAGTGAAGTTTCAACGTGTCACTGACCTATCATTTCCACGCCCGAGCAGAGTATTCGAGCTCATGGTGCAATTTATCGAGGATATTTTGTGATCGGTCGTCCGAGGGGAAAAAGACAGCAGTACAATGGAGATGAAGACAAACGGGAAGTCAGCCGCTTTCAGCAGCGTAAGTAAAACCGACCTCAAAATTCTGCAAAACTGAGACTTGCATTGCTTACATTATTGAAATGATCGCGTCCGTAAATTATGCTTTAACGCCTCAAGAGCTCTTTCCTCTGTGTCGGTTTTTTTTTTTTGGGGGGGGGGGGCCTTCCCAATCGAGATTTATCTAGGCGTCTTGTGAGAAAGAAAGAGGTTTGAGGGTCATCCTGAAGCTGAAAGGGAAATCAGGGTAGGTCCTCGAAAATTTCTAACGATATTGGGTCTCTTGCATATGGCAGGGACGCAGATAGTTCTTGAGCTTCTTCTTTTCAAAACTCCTGTTCCCCATAAATCTCAAAGCAGTGCCACTTTTCGCCCTTTCCAATCTCTTTCTTTCTTTTTTCTTACGCTTATGTCAAATTGCCACAATTTTGCCAAATACTCATGATATCCACCCTGACGCGAGACGGCCCTTCCATGCATCTCGTCGTGACCCGTTGGCTTCAGTATAGGTATTCAGTGATTTCCGTTCCTTTTTTTTTCTTACTAAAAATGAAATAGAAAATGAAAAGAAAAGTTCCCAAGACCTCTCACCCTCTTTGGCGTATTCTACATTTTTACATTCTTACAAATATATCGCCGTATTTGATCAAGTTTTAAGTAATTATCACGCATATCATTTAATATATAATATTCATTGTACTTGATACGTACTTAATAAAAAACATAGTTCACTAAAATAAACTGTTCCGAGACACAATAAATAAGTAAATAAAATAAACACAAGGAAAAAGGAAAGCCAAGAAAAAAACAAATACCGACTCCTCAGTTAAATATTCTGAAGTACGCTCGTTAAGCGTGACATAAAAATTCGTACATATCTACTTAAAAATATAGCAGAATGAGCTACTGATTAAGAGCACATGGTCGTCATCATTGTCTGATGGTATATTTTATCAGGTTCATGCACTATTCATTGTTCTATCAAAGTTTATGTAGAGAGATATAAAGGAGTGTTCCTCTTGGAGATAACTATTCGTGCTCCAACGTAGGTTTGTTGCCTATGTGGCAAGATTGAAGGCGCACTTCAAATCGAAGATGCTTACGAGCTCATCGATTCAATTAGGAGCGATGTCAATGAGTGCTTACCGAAAAGATAACTCCTCGGTATGTTTGTGCGTATGTCCTGAAATTGGAGGCGAACTTCATGTCGGTTAGTGACTCAGTCAAAGCATGCAGCCGGATGACTGCGTTTTTCGAACAGCTCACTATTCGAGTACTTTCCAATACATTTGTTATCTTTGCGAGAAAACTGAAGGCGAACTTTAGTGAACGATTTCTATTTAAAATAAAGGGATTATCTGAATATTTACTACCCGAGGCGCGCTGATCGAATATACTCATTTGTGGTGGAGATCTCTCAGAAACATTTTGAAAATTTGAATATGAACTTGGACTTTCCTCAAAGGAATTCTCGTTCAGTTCGTTTCGTTAAAATAATTGATAAATAAATAATATCAAGATATAAAATCGAAACAGCTGGAAAACGTAAAAAGTGGCAGGAGGTGACATGCCATATTCGAGCGTCTGGTCGGTCATTTGGAACTTTTGCGACTTCGGGAAACTATCCCGAAAATGTTATTGAGTTTTAAAAACTATTTTGAAGTTAGAGAGTTTCCCTAAAAATATCTTTGAATCCTATATGTTAAACGGCATGTCCAATTGGCGTCTACTTGATGTAAACCTCTTAAAATCAAGGTAACTGTGATTTCCACATCCACATCTCGTTCTCATTTACCTATACAATTATGTGAAATGCGGCTACATTTTTAGCACAACTCATAATCAAGCCTCCAATTTGTCCACAAAAAAGAGCTCTAATTCATTGTCAGTCGCGCAACAAGGTGATATCATCACTTTCGGTAGACATATTTTGTCTCAGTCGCTGTAAATATCCATTCGCTAATTATTTGTCCGCACTTGGGTATACTTTCACATTCTATTGGCGCCGTCGAAACTATTTGATAGGGCAAAATGAACTCTTAATGTGCACCCACGATGGATAAGCAGAGTCTGTCTCCAGTAAACATCATTAGAGTAACAGAGAGTGATCTATATTTATTCACACGTTCAAATGAATTGAGGAAAGGAATGCAGCGAAAATATTTCGTAGATGTCAGCCAGGAAAATCTCTGACAACTTTCCGAAAACATAAAGTGTTGAGCTCACTTTTCCCCCATTTTTTTTATTCTTGATTTTATTTCAAAAGCCTTCGAAAAATAGAACGAAAGATACGTGTTGCTAATTTGAAATTAAAAAGGTGGTTTTTAAAGGGGCGGTCTGATGGCTAGGGGTGCTAGTACCCCAGAAATTCTGACGAATGGCTCAGCGGGTCTCGCTGGTTTCTTGTAGAGGCCCCCAAAAATGGAAACACCCTCACAAAGGAGGATTTTGTGTTACTCAGAGGGAACCCCGCCCAATTTAGGGACAAAGTTTAACGAATATGTTCATGTTCAAGTTATTTTTTTTTTTTTACTTTGAATTTTTGACAGGAGAAAATCTACGATTAGTTGAATTCAAAACAGAACTACTCTCAACTCAATTGTTTTCCCAAAATACGACGATGTGGGTTTTTACTAAACCGAGTGCAATAGCTATTCATGTTTTTTTTTACTAATTTCATGTTTACTGCATATCAGGAGACAGGGCTGGTCGATTCAGAGCTGGGCGGGAGTGTAAGCCAGTATGATTTATCACCTGAGGTCAATGAAGAAAACGCACAAAGTGATTTAACGTACGGCATTGACGACACACCACCATGGTACTTATGTATTTTCATGGCTTTACAGGTAAGCTGAGTTACAAAGCGTTTCATAGCGTCAATCTCAACTGAGGCTTAGTCTCATCAGTTTTAAAGTCGATTGCTCGTTCATTTAAGTCGACGTTCGATTTGAAAGAAGTTGGGATTCGAGCGACTGAGGGACCGTTCATAATTTACGTAATGCTTTTTTCCGGCAATTACAACCCCCCTCCCACTCTTCCTACGCTTCATAGCGCAACTTCGGACCCCCTTGAGTCGGAAGCGCAGGTTAACCTTGCCAACTATAAAACAAAACAAAAAATTATAATTATCATATTGATTCTTAAAATTAAAATATGGAAGAATAGGCAGCGAATTCGTGTATGATTTACTTTTTATAGCATTCTGAAAAATACTTTTGATTCAGCACATTTAAACTGTTGAACCTTTCATTTGCCAGCATTATTTGACCATGATTGGAGCGATCGTATCGATTCCATTCATCTTGACTCCCGCGCTTTGTATGGAGGAGAGCGACCCGGCCAGGGGACATATAATTTCGACTATGATTTTCGTCACCGGAATAGTAACATTCATCCAGGCAACGTTTGGGTGCAGGTCAGTCTTTCGAGTTTTTCATTACTCTCATACGAAAATCGTTATACATGGTAAAAAAAACTTCGTGAGTAGGACCCGAATTTTAGGTCATGTGGATTTTTGAAGTTTTCGGATGTACGATCCGATATGGGGAAATATCGATTATCGACCATTCACGCCTCGCAACTGGAACTTTGGATTTCACGCACGAAGTTTCTTCCTCCGTGTATACACACAGCTCAAGCTAGAAAAAAGAACTGTCCCCATAATTGGACTTTTTTTGGAACTACAATATCTGGTTCATCCGTAGAAACACTTATGTTTCTGGGGAAACTAGGGGACATACGTTGCTTTTAAACTGAGCCAAAATTGTAAATAGTTCCAGATTGTAAATTGTAATACAATTCATATCCTGTCAACATATTTTAGACTTTAATGCTTACACTGAGAAATATGGTTCGGTTACAATGACTGAACTTCTATTCATATAGGACATCAATGTTTTCGGTTCAGGTAACCGAAGTTTTTGGTCAGCCGAAACCGAATTTAGGTTCAGGCTGAACCGAGGTTTTTCTGGGACTAAAATCTACGGTTACCACTTACCAGAACCGAAGAACTTCGGGTTCAATATAGATCGAAGTTTTTTCCTCCGTTTGTATTTGACCCATTACCGCGAGGCTGCGGTAGTAAAACTAAGCTTGTCTGTTTTTATCTCAAGCATACTATTGAGGCCATAAAAAATCCAAATACACCGCGTTGTGAAGCTTATACTCTCAGCCATCAGGTATTGCTAAGATGGTGCATGCAAATTGTCCTTCGCCGTGTAAGAGCCTACACATTGCCTCCGCTCCATTCATTTTTCATAGGGAACTTCTCTGAAATTTTAGGGATAAGTATAGTTGAGGAAGATTAATTTCATTTTTAGGCTGAAGAGGATGAAAAAAGGCATTAAAATTCAGCCATCTCAGAACTCCTTACATGATAAATGTGAAAATTTGAAATATTTTGACTCAAAACTACGCACCTAAAACTACAAACCTTATACCATGTTGACTCCGATTTGGTTTGACATTTTTGGGTATTTTTCAAGGTATGCTTTTCTTAAAATACTTCTATGCTACTTCTATGCACTAAAAGCAGCTGTATCAATGCCTCGAGATTATCGATGCTGTAAATGATTACACGAAAAGCTTCAGTGTTATTTTTTCTCGCTCGCTCTTCCAGCTGATGACTAAATCATTTGTTTCGTTTTCCAGACTGCCAATCGTTCAGGGCGGAACCATATCTTTCTTGGTGCCAACGTTAGCGATTTTACATTTACCTGAGTGGAAGTGCCCATCAAGCGATTACATAAAATCTCTGTCTCCGGATGATCGGACCGAACTGTGGCAAGTTCGCATGAGGGAGTTATCGGGTGCCATAGCCGTCTCAGCCCTGTTCCAAGTTTTTATTGGATACTTCGGTAGTGTTAAAATTCAATGAAATCTAGCTACACGTATGTGGAAAAAAATAATGTTGGTGGCTATACTAGGTTGCTGCTTATGAACTGCCCCCACGCAATCTAAGAGTCAGTACAAGATTGTTTAACGTATAACCACACGAACTACACTGCCGTGCTAAGGCAAAACACCGTATGAGCCTCCAGGCGCTGCCAAATTTCCTTCAGTAAATCACAAATTTTCAATAAAATTTGTGAATATTTTTCTTCGAAGTTTTCAGAAAATTTTGTTTGCAATTTCACCTAAAGTTCCTGAAAATTTCAAGGGAAAATATCCATATAGTTTTCCCAAAAAAATAAACATTTTATCGAGGGAAATTTGGCAACTCTCGAATATTCATGCAGCGTTTTTCTTAAGCATGGCAGTACAGGTGAATGATTGACATTGACAGTATCAAAGACTAGTCACCAGCTTTTTTGGGGATCATACTTAATTGGGAATCTAGTGACTTTTAACATTATTTTTAATCCATGTGTATCTACGAGGATCCATATACGAGGATTAAAAATAAACGAGTGGTACGGAATATAACAGAAGAATATAAACTATGCAAAACGATAATCCGGGTATCGGAACTTGGCTGTTTTGAAAACGCCTTCAAATGCGGCGTGATACCTCACGCATTCCGGAGAGTTCAAATAGTTGTATCATTGCGCCGTAAGAATGTGACGGAAGATTTAAATGGAGATAGTCTCCATGGCGCTGGGCATGTCGATTTCCTTTGACACTTTTGCAGTGGTGAATGCATAGCTGAAGTGCGCTTCAGCTAGAATTGTATTTAGTAAATGGGTGGTTTTTATAGGAGGATTATAATTAAACAAGTCGTTAGAAATGGAAACAAAATAATATGAACTGTGCAAAACGATAATCCGGGTATTGGAACTTGGTTGTTTTGAAAACGCCTTCAAATGCGGCGTGATACCTCACGCATTCCGGAGAGTTCAAATAGTTGTATCATTGCGCCGTAAGAATGTGACGGAATATTTAAATGGAAATAGCCGTCATCACTGATGAGGGCTTGGTTCCCTTCTGCTAAACGCGGTCCAATTGCATGTGCGTAAAAGTGCATCAAGCTTTGAAGACATAGATTAAAACTGTATTTGCTCGTCCGCTTAAAATTGCTTTTCTATAATTTCAAACTTTCATAACTCCAGCTTGCTTCTGCATTTCTGGGTTTTTATTCGGCAGCAGCGTGTCCTCGAGACACTCTTTTAAACAGAGCGGTTTGAAATTTTTCCGAGTCTTAGTAAATTTTGTATAGAGCCTAAATCGCCCTTCCCCGTTAATTCCCGTATTTGGAAAATTAAAGCCTGTGGAAAATGCGGGTTAAATTGATGTATGGCTATAAAAGTGAGAGACTTCAGTTTTGTTTTAAATTTTCTGTTTGCAGGATGCATGGGAATAATTCTTCGATATGTAACTCCACTGACTATAGTGCCAACGGTTTCAATGGTCGGTTTGTCGTTGTTCGCCAACGCAGGGGCTGCCGCATCACAAGACTGGTCAATAGCAGGAGCGTAAGTTGAACTTTTAAATTGAGGTAGATTTTCAATTCTTCACCTCATTTAACCTAATTCTGAAATGTATATACTCCATTAAAAAAAAAAAAAAAAAAAAAAAAAAAAAAAAAAAAAAAAAAAAAAAAA